AAAGGTATTTAAATAATGATGACGGTAAATTAAAATATTAGATTTTTAAGCTTTGTCCTGTAGCAGATGTAACTGGGAAAGGTTTATCAAATGTTATTTTGGATTTCTTGAATATTCTGGAATTGACTGTGTATTTATTTGGACAAGGGTATGACGGGGCTATACTATGAGTGGTGAATTTCCGAGTTCAAGCGTATATGAGATAAGATCATTTAGGCATATCATCACACTGTGCTGCCCTATAGTTTCATGCAGTTAGTGCCGCATGTAGTATCCCCAAATTAGAAACTGTCTTGGTACAGTCAATCTATTTAAAACTTCTTTAATACACCAAAACGACTTATTGCACTTCATGATGCAATACTAAATAATGAAACTTGTTACAAGAAAGAAAAACTTAAAATACTGCGCACAAGGTGGGTACAACAGCATGAATCAATTGGAACCTATATAGATTTACAACCAGCTGTTATTGACGCCTTAGAAAACATTTCAAGTACTTGGACAGATTCAAAAACAACATCCGAGTATCAATTCACGTTTTGCATTCAGTACATGCATTGGCTTTATTATTGAGTAGAGTTTTACAAACAGAAAATCAAGATTTGGTCGAGGCTGTTAAGTTAGCAGATGCAGCAAAACACGAACTTGAAGAAAGAAGACAATATTCTACAGAACTTCAACAACATTTTTGTGACTGTAGAAGATATTTGTAAGAAGTACAATATACCTGTGACTAAACCAAGACTTGCATCACGCCAAACTAACCGTTCTAACATTATAATAGACTCCGTAGCAGATTATTATAAAATTATTATTTACATACCATATCATGATTTATTTATCACTCATCTTCAAGATCGCTTCCTCAAACATCGAAATATTTTGTCTAACTTCTCATGTCTTTTTCCTGTTGAAACTAAATCTTTAGACAAAGTTGCTTGTAAAACGTTGTTTGAAACCTACAGTTCAATTTTACACGACGATTCCCTAGAAATTTGGATAAGTGAGGTAGAAATTTGGCGACGACGACTAGTTGGTAAAAATATTCGAAACGCCCTTGATGCCCTCGACATTTGTAATGCAGATGCATTTCCAAATGTCCATAAAATGTTACGTGTAATGTCAGTTTTGCCTGTGACTACAACGACTAATGAAAGGTCATTTTCAACATTACGTCGGCTGAAAACTTACCTACGATCAACAATGGGCGAAGATCGCTTAAATGGACTGGCATCATTGAATATTCATCGTGATATAAACGTGGACATAAATCAAGCACTGAATCAATTCTTTTCTGTCCCTCGTCGAGTTAATTTATTAAAAAAATGATTTGTATTTTATAGTAGGTATTGTTCAAAAAGACATTTAACATAGCTACATACAATATTAATAATAAATATAAATATGTTATAATACTATTTGTTAATTATTGATTTAACTATGTTATACATTTTTTTTTTCAAAACACCCCCCATTCTGAAAGCCTGCGCACGCGTCTGCCTGTTGTTATACCGTCGTGCTCAAGAAGAAACAGCTGACCAGTGGCCTTACTGTCGCCGTCAATTGGTCACCTGCCAACGACAACATCGGCATAGGAACGGATTCACGTAAATACTGTCATTATTTTCATATCTTATTTTTTATATATACAACAAATTGTACCACGATTGTTTAGATCGTATTTGGCCGAATATTATTATTATTATTTCTTATTATTCTTATTCTTATTATTATTATTATCACCACGACGAAAGTGATTGTGATATCTGTTAGTCTATTATCAATCATTGTATAAACTGTCAACACTTCGTCGTTGGTGATACGTTAATTTGTACATTTTAATATTATATTTGTGTAATCCACACTTTAAATACGACTCGAATGTTTATATTTTGTATGGTCACCTCTCTTTAAGCAATTCTCCACGTTTATTCCAAGTTCATCTCTCTGTGGTGTAGTTAGCGAGGCCGACCACAGATTTGTAGGAGCCTCGTGGCTAAACAACCAGTATACGACATTTCCTCTCACTTACAATAATTTAATTATTTTTTATTTGAATACCAAAATATTCATTAGATATAATTTATATGGCAAAACAACGTTTGCCGGGGCAGCTTGTATTATATATATTATAAATACGTATATAATAATTTTTATTAATAATTATTTTAAAACTAGGCAGATATTGTAAGTGTAATAATGTTATTGTCATTTTCATTTAATTATAATTGTATGCATTTTATCTATATATTCGTAACAGTTTCAAAATTCCTTATCGCTTCCGGCGCAATTTCCATAATATTCCTCGATAAATTTTATTATTTTTAGACTTTATTCCAATATTTAGTTATAATAGTGCAGAAAACAAATAAAAATATTAAATTTAGTCTATCCTGTATTTTTGTGCTAAGAACTAACGTTTAATAGCATATTTTGTAATCAACATTCAACAGCAATAGTCGTAAACTTCAGATGATGGTATAAGATTTACTGTTTCCATTTTTTAATTGTATTAATTATTGTATTTAAATGTATTAAAAATACAGTTACAATTTTTTTTTAGTAATTTGCTGATATTTCTGATTATTTTGAATAACACTTTCTGGTTTTTAACGTTGATATCGCTTGAGATATGAATTGCTTATCATTTTCCTGACAACTACTTTTCTCCGAGAGGCACCATGTCTAACAACTCGATAAGCAACAAACCTGCAACTGCAAATAACGCACAAAACGGTTCAAACGTTATAGCATCTCCTTTACATATTACCTTAACGAAAAATAATATTAACATATCAGCCGAACCGGAATGGATAATCAAAACAGGAAAACGCCCACCATCTCTAGATATGTCACCGAAATTAAAAGGTAATAAAAACGAAAAAAGTAAATACACATTCTCCACTCTCAACTGTTATAACGTACTAAGCGAAGCCAACGAAAATGTCGACGATAATTCTTAAATGCATACCCATATTGTTCATCACCACACAGGTTGACTACTTTAAATTCTGCGCCCAAATTAAAACAATAATTGGTCCATGCCAAAAGAAATCTCTCACCCCCGGTCATACAAATTGGTCTATCTTCAAAAGCATTTTAAATGACGATATAAAACTTAACGTTTCTCTAAAATCAATCGATGAAATCCATAACGCGATTAACCACCTTACAACCTCGATACAAAAAACCAAACTCCTCATATACAAGCTCTACTTACCGAGAAACGTAGAACAAGGAAAGGTTGGCAAAATTTTAGGTATCCCAATGACAAGACCAAACTTAACAAACTAAATATCCGAATGAAAAAAAGCAAATCCAAAAATACAAAAATCAATCATATAACATTTACGTAGAATCTTTAACTACTAAAAATATGTTTCTGTGGAAAGCAACAAAAATATTCTACGAATAAACCACCCCCCCCTTTCCTCTTAGAAAAAAATACAATTTATGGGCCATTTCTTTACTTTACTTTACTACCTCGAATCTCCTCTCCCAATGTCTCTGCCTGCTGAATCCCCCGGAGAAATAAACAATATAATAAAAAAAATCCCTACCACGCAAAGTCATAATTTATTTATTCCACTTATTTAATGCACTGTTTAAATTATCATACTTTTCTAGGACTTGGAAACACTGTATTATAACTTTTATTCTCAAACCAAACAAACCAACCGAAAATCCAGAATCATTCAAACCAATTAGCCTTCTTACCACCATATCAAAAATGTTTGAAAAAATTTTATTAAAAAGGCTTCTCTCCATCACCACCAATGCACATATCATCCCGCACACACAATTCGGTTTCAGAGACCATCGCTCAACAACTCACCAACTACACCGCACTATCGATCATATCTCCAATGCTCTGAAAAAAAGAATTTTGCCTCACTGTTTTTCTCGACATCTCCCAAGCCTTTTACCGGATCTGGCATGACGGACTTCTTTTTTAATTAAAAAGTTCCTTATAGCCCCCTATTTTCTACTCTTAAAATCCTATCTATCAGACCGTTTTTTCATTATTTGTCTTAAAAACAGTTACTTAATATGTCACCCTTAAAAAGCAGGTGTTCCACAAAGAAGCGACATCGCCCCTTTTTTATACTCCGCGTTTACCCATGATATTCCAAAAATTTTTTACACATTCATTGGCACACACGCTGACAAAACTCTAATATCGGTGTCACATCGCAGTCTATAGATTGCTAGCTTACGGATCCAAAATCACCTTAATATGATCAACTTATGGACAAATAATTGGAAAATAAAAATAAGCAAAAACAAATCAACTCACGTAAAGCCGGGTTTACACGTAACAATAAATCGTTACGATGTGATTGACAATTTTTATTGTACCAATTAATCGAAATAGTGAATATTGTTTACACACTACAATTTCTTGTCCAATATTCTTTGTCGACCACGGTTCATCACAACTCAGTTTTAGCTTTCACCATGGAGGAAGTACTGTTGTGGTCGTTATATCTAGTTTGTTTAGCGAAAAAAGCAAAACAGTCGCGAAGACCAAGAAGAAAGTGGAGTCGCGAATGGTTGCTGAAGAAAAGGGAATTTTCGCATGTAAACTTATTGCGAGAATTACGAAATGAACCCAATGACTGGCGAAATTATTTGAGAATGGATGAAGAGACTTATGTTGAATTGTTAAAGTTAGTTTCTCCGTTTATCGTGAAAAAAGACACTGTTATGAGAAAATCCATATCTCCACACGAGAGACTCTCAGCTACCTTACGATTCCTTGCTACCGGAAGAAGCTTTAAGGACATGGAATTTTCAACTGCCATTTCTAAACCAGCTCTCTGCAAAATAATTCCGGAAACCTGTGAGGCTATCTACAAAGTATTAAAAAAATACATACAGGTATGTTCACTAATTTTTTTTTTATTTACTTTTAAACCATAGACAATACAAACATTATAATTTATAATCAAATGTAATAGGTACAATATAAATTGAATAATTATAGAATATGTTTTACACGTGAAAATGCCCTTTTACTAAATGAATTTTGAAAAGAAACTAGAAACATTGTTTTCCATTGATTGGTTGAGATCTGTGTTTATCGTTTTACTTGAACTTGGCATATAGTTTGAATAAATGAGTGGCTGAATTTCGGGCTGTTGAGATTCTGGTTGCTGAATATTTGGTTGTTTAAAATTGGCTTGTTCTGGTTCGTTTGTATGAGAGATTGGTGGTGTCGCATTAGAGAGATGTTGAGCATTTGGAATTGTCATATTAGAGAGATGTTGAGAGTTTGGCAGTTGATGCTCAAATATTCGAGGTATATATGTAGGATGGTAAAGTTGAGGATTAAATTGTAGCAAGTCATTAGTTTCGAATGTATGGTGTGGTTGACTGTTCATTACTTTAAAATCTTTAGTGAGTGCCTCAAGCTCCCCCTCAAAAATCACGTCATTTATGAGTTTTCGAGCATATACGGCCTGGTTTCCTTTGAGGGAACGTAGCTTGTGGGCTATATACTTTCCGTAGGCTTCAAATTCATCATCGGGACGAATAGCTTTTAGTTGTTGTCCCGCTAGCTGCATCACCTCATCTGTCGGAGTTAGTTTCTTTTTCCGCTTTGACTGCTGTCCGATAGGTGATGGTGTCACACTTCGTGATGTAGTTGATCTATCATCACCTGATGTTGGCACAACTGATGTGGTGACATCTCGTTGGTAGGAATGGTCTAAATCCGTAGATTCAGAATCTTCCTGAAATATAATAGAGCATATATTTTTAGTTGCTTTAAAAAGTATAAGAATGTACTAAGGTAGACACAACAATTTTTGTTAATTTTGTAGAAATTTAAACATCAAAATTTTAATTTTAAATAATTAAAAAAATTATGCATAGTATCTTTGATACTTTTCAACTGCTTTTGCAACAATATATCAAAAACCTTGTATTAACTTTTCAAGTTTTTTGAACGAATCAAATTTTATTGACATTCATAGAAAAAAAAAACTATAACTATTTAAAACTGAAGATGTCCATAAACAGCTTAAGACAAGTCAAAATATTTTAAAAATTGTATGATGTATAGAGAATGCTAATATAAACATTCAGTAAAAATTTCATGTGTCTACGATCATTTGTTTTAAATCGATTTTGCGTAAAAATTCCCGTTTTCCTAATTTTTTTTTTTTGTTTTTACCGGTGCATATTATGGAACTACTGGAAGTTTTTTTATTTTTGACCCCCCAAAGTACCAACTAGTACTAGATTCACTTTCCTATATCAGAAAAGATACGGTTGAAACACATACACACACATCGCTCTGCTCAGAATCTAAAGAAACTTTTTTTATTCCAGTGTCCTAAAACAGCAAATGAGTGGATGAAAATCGCTTCAGATTTTGAAGAGAAGTGGCAATTTCCTCATTGTTTGGGTGCGATCGATGGCAAACATGTCCAGATCATTCCACCAAAGAATAGTGGTTCCAAATACTACAACTACAAAAAGACACATAGTATAGTTTTAATGGCTATTGCAAACGCTCACTGCGAATTTATATATTGTGACGTAGGAACGAACGGTAGAATATCTGACGGAGGTGTGATAAATAACACTATTTTCTACGAACGACTTGTAAATAACCAATTGGATATTCCTGCACCTGAACCAGTAAGCTTCGATCTTGACCTGGAATATGTTTTTGTGGGGGATGATGCTTTTGCGATGCGACCTGATCTTATTAAGCCTTACAGTCGAGTTTCACTTAATAATGAGAGAAGAATATGTAACTATCGAATATCGAGAGCACGGCGAGTGGTTGAGAACAGTTTTGGAATTTTAACATCAAGATTTCGTATTTTTAACAATGCAATTAATTTACAAGTGAAAACTATTGAATCAGTAGTTCTCGCATGCTGTGCCTTGCACAATTTACTACGCAAAAAATCAGTTTCCTACACCTCTCTTGAATGTTTTGATCACGAAAATACTATGGATGGTACTATTCAACTAGGTGCAAGGTGTAATCCCGATATATTACACAACCTCGAACGACGTTCAGGAGGTCAAGTTTTAGAAAGAGCAAAAATTATCAGAGAAAAATTCTGTACATATTTCAACGGTGAGGGGTCTGTTCCTTGGCAAGAAAAAAGTGCATGGAACGTTTGAAATTTATAGTTCTTGAAAAAAGCTTATCATATGTTAATTATATTAGTATGCTTACTATATTGCTTGTAAGAATTTAGTTTTATAGCGATTTTTTCACTTTACTAGATTACAGACAATTCATTTGAACACTAGTTATCATTAATTCATTAATACATAGTAAAGTATAATATTATACTATATAACATTTAGATAAAATTATTAATAATTATTGTTCATTATTATTATTAATTATTAAGATAATTTTACTATAAATAAAAAATAATTTGACTTACAATATATTGTTGTGTTTCTTTGTCCTCGTCATCCATTGTGTTCCTAGTAGATCTTACAGAGTCCCGGTCGTTCAAAAAATGCAGAAGGTCGAAATACCACAAACTAGGTTTATAAATTTCATCCGCTCCAGCCCCAGATTTTAACGAATTATTAACTTTTGATAGTTCTTTCTTATAAACCGTACGCAACGCATTAATTTTTTTCACAACAGTGTTTCTGTCTGCCGAAGGATCAAACTCTTTGTACTTTTTAACCATCTCTTCATAAGCAACGGCCAATGCAAACTAAATCAAATTGTAGCAATAAATTGTTGCTACATGTTTACATTTTCCAACTTATCGTTACGATTTGCAGAAATTGATGCCGCTCGGCATCAATCATCCGATCTAATTCCAATTCCAATAAATCGTTACTATGTCCTATTTATACACAACGATAAATCGAAACAATTTGATCGTTACGTTAAATAGCTGGAATTTATTGTTACGTGTAAACCCGGCTTAACATTCACTTAACGAAACTGTGACTGCCCTCCAATTACAATCTATCGAAACCACAGCTTGGTTTCGCTAGTCATCAGCGGTGGTTCTCGGGCTTGGTACTGCCAGGGCGGAACGTCCGCTACCAACACCGGTCGACAGCGCGGCATACGGGGTTGAACTCCGTATGCGTCCGCTACAGACCCAGGCGTTTGCCTGATCCGGAGGGCGGCGGAAACGTCGTTCCACGGGCGTGAAGGCCTAGGTCAACCCGTGGCGCGGTTAGGTTAGGTTAGGTAGCGTGGCGCGGTCTCTTGGGAGCCAATTCGTCGACTTCTGGGGAGACAATGCTCCCGCCAGTATCGCTCTCCTCTGAAGCCACGTGAATGATGTAGTCGCCTGGTAGGTGCCGGGCCGCCTTGACCACTGTGGATCCTGGTTGACCGTCTCCGGTAGGCGGCGTCCCCGGTCTCGCTTCGGCGCGGCCCCTGGTGGACCGATATCAAGGTTAGTGTGGTTTCGATGAGGGCGCCGGTAGATTGGCACCTGTACCGATAGATCGGGGCTTCCTCGTAGTGGTAGATGTAAACGACGCGACCCTTAGGTCGTGGCGGCTAACACCTATTCAACTCCAACCGACGGCCCCACAGAGAGGTGGCGGCTATGCGCTCGTAACGGTAGCTTCTGAAGGTAAAATAGTGGTATATATGCTAGCTTTAATGGTAGCAGGCAACGGTGTCAGCCAATGTCCACTCACCGAAACGAAATTTGACCATGGCGAAAATCGACGGTAACAAACGAGGGTCGGAAGCCCGACCGCGGAGGTTACGACCGCCGCGGGACGCGAAGAGCGTCGAGGCGAACCCATTCCCACGCAGCCTTTTGGGGGCAGCGAGGATGCGGCTTGCGACTCGAGAATTTAGTGGGACTACCCGGTGTCGCGCTGTCGGGTTTTTCTCTTTAACAGCGCCGGGAGACCTCACTACGGTTCGCCTCTCGGAGGCCGGACTCGTCCGACCCCCTACTGGGGCAAATCGTACCGATGGGGGAGTACCGGAGGCTTGATGAGACATGACAAGACTTGCGGGGAACCGATGCGCGACAGCGGCCGCGCCACCGCGCTCGCGGGGGGTCGCTGTGGAGTGCACTGGAGAAATCGTTGTTTAGGGGGACCCGGGAATCCGAGGACACCGCCGCCAGAAGAGGGCGGAGACGCGCTGACGGAATAAATCTGCGGGACATGGTCACGACCGAGGACGGTCCTGGACTTAACAACCTGGGGACCCATAAAAACGACCCCGCATTCTGGAGTTGGTCAAATAGGAGATTTAGACTGGGGCCTATGCTTAAGTGGCCGGGCCTGAGGGTCCTCCAAGAAGTTGGACGGAAACTGTATCTGACCTTAGCTAGTTGGCCCAAATGCGGGTAATTCACTGACACGGTTGCCCGGCCCGGTTAGGTTAACCCCCCGGTTGAGAATCGCTGCTATAGATCGCAGCTCACTGCAGTATCGCACCCCCCGGTTGAGAATCGCTGCTATAGATCGCAGCTCACTGCAGTATAAACTAGTCTGCACGGCAAGTGGCGGATGCCGCTATGTAGCGCTATAATCGCGTTACTGTTTCTGGCGGATTTCTCACCGATCGCTAGTATCGTAGCCGTATCGTCATTGTCGCCGACCACCGTAGTCGTAGCACTTAATCGTCAACCACTGTCGCGTGTCATCTCGTGACTCTCACAATATTTAAAAAAAATATGATCATCGTCGATCACTATCATTGATCACCATAGGCCGAATACCGACTCACGAGGTGTGCTTGCAACCTTCCGAAAGAAGGGTGGCGGGTGCACGGTGGGCCTGGTTGAAATTCTAGACTTACTGCTCAACACCTTAATTTATCCGGATACGATCGACTATGTAACCGAAGAGCACAAACGACTTCGCAAGGAGACGGGAGTGCGACTAGGGGAAACTGAAGAAACGGTCTGGAGTGGAGAAAGGGAGAGCAACCACTGTGAGGAATTTTCTCAGGAGGAAGTGAAAAAGGCGATTTGGCGCATGGGACAGGACAAGGCCCCTGGGGAGGATGGTCTAACAGCCAGAATCCTTAGAGTGGCTTTCCCAGTGATGGGGAAATACTGACCACTCTTTTCAACGAGTGTTGGAGAAGGGCCCGTTTTCCGAAAGGGTGGAAGCATGCTGTGGTGGTACCACTATTGAAAAATCGTGACAAGGATAGATCTGACCCAAAGTCATATCGCCCGATCAGTCTACTTCCGGTGCTGTCAAAGGCACTGGAGTACCTGATATGCGTGAGACTGAGGGAAAAGATTGGTTCAAGTATGAACGACAATCAATACGGTTTTAGAGCGTACAAATCAACAACCGATGCAATATTGAGAATGAGGGAATGGACCGAAAGTCGGGCAGAGAAGTACGTTCTTGGAGTGTTCTTGGACATTTCTGGAGCGTTCGACAATGCTTGGTGGCCGGCAATATTGCATCATTTGAAAAGGTTGGGAGCCACTGATAGGTTGTGTGAGATAACACGGGATTATCTAAGGGGAAGATACGCCAGTATCACTGTGCCGACGGGGAGAAGCCAGGTTAGGCTGTCCAAGGGTTGTCCTCAAGGATCTCAGTTCGGACCAGAACTCTGGAACATTTTGATGGACTCTTTATTGAGTCTTGACGAATCGGAAGGAGAACTACCCATCGGTTACGCGGATGACGCGTTGCTGATGATAGCTGGGAAGACGAGATCAGAGGTGATCCGAAAGGCAGAGTCCAAACTTAAAAGAGCAGGATCCTGGACGGGTGGTATGAAGTTGACCTTCTCGGCCACAAAGACGAAAGTTATGTGTCTGAAGGGAAGACTGACTCCACCCTACACAGTTAGGATGGACGGGAAGAGGATAGCGGAGGTAAAAGAGATGGATTATCTCGGCGTTACCTAGGATGATAGGTGGAGTTTTAGGAACCACGTGAAGAGAGTAGCGGGGAAAGCGGCACCAATGTTTCAGAGGATCTGACGGATAGTAGCCTCAACCTGGGGACTTAGTGGGCGGACGACGCGTAGATTATACTTAGGTGTATTTGTGCAAAGACTGCTCTACGGTGCTGCAGTGTGGGGTGAAACCGTCGGCGATCGTATGATGAAACGTCTGCTGTTAGGAGCTCAGAGGGGTGCACTCTTGGCGGTAACGGGGGCATATCGTACCACGAGTATGGATGCCCTGCCTGTGCTAGCTGGATTTCTTCCTCTGGACCTGGCTGCTAGACAATGGGGTCGCTTGGCTAGGAGTAGGAGGTTAGGGCTCGGGAGGGTGCATATGAGAAGGGTAGAAGAGGAAGGAATTGCCGAATGGCAAGCACGGTGGGAGGCTAGTGAGAAGGGTAGACTCACATATAGCTACTTCTCATTTGTGAAAGAAAGGTTGAAGTGTAGCTGGGTGGAGATGGATCATGAGTCCTCCCAGTTCCTAACGGAACATGGCGGATTTAGATCCTACTTCTTACGCTTCTCTAAGTCAGAGACCGACGAATGTCAGCTGTGCGGAAGCTCGGATACGATGGAACACGTCGTTTTCGAGTGTGATGCACTGGCGGGCACTATACGGGCACTATACGGGCACTAATAGACCTAGTGGAGTCGAGAGACCAACATTGGCCATGTTAACCGCGCTTCCTAGTGGACTCCCCGGAACTCTGGAAAGGGTTTCGTGGGTTCATGACAGAGGCGTCGGCCGTTCTTGGTCATGTAGTGGGTCTCTCAGCAGATGAGGTGTAGACTCACGCTCGTAAGAGCTGAGGGCGTCTGGGACGCGTAGAGGTAGCGAAGGTGCGGAAACGGGAAATGGTGTGAATAAACCCTACGGATGTAGGGTGATGTCTGCCACTTCTGGCGGCCGTGGCTCGTCCTATTGGATTGAGTAGGCATCTTTTTTTTTTTTTTTGTATGTGCTCTCCGTAGCTACTTGGGGGAACTTTCCCTTTCGGTAATCCTACCCCCAAGTGGCCGAAAGCCGTTTATTAAAACAAGCTACATCAACTATAATTGGACCGTGGCAGGCTAATCTCCCACGCACTGATCCTCACATTATTTAAAAATATGTACATATTAGAGGGGCTCTATCCCCTTGAATTGCCTTTCAGGCCACAACACAAATCCTTAACTAGTATAATACAAAATTTTATTTGGTGAATGTGTCGCTGGCGCTGCCGTTCTTCTTCCTCCCTGGTTTTGAGGACTTCAACCACATACCCGCATACTGTATCCCACTTGGCTCTGCTCTCCAACATTGTGTTCACCACTGTTTCGGGGGTGAACTCGGTATCCGTAGCCACCTCTAGTGCTCTTCGTCGCCTCCACCAGCGGTCGCATATGAATAATGCATGTTCCGGGTCGTCCATCAGTGCCTGACAATCATGGCACACGGGTGTATTCAGCTTCTTGAACCTCCAAAGATACATCCCAAAACATCCATGCCTAGTGAGAAACTGAGTGATATGGAAATTCACTAGGCCAAATGATCCTGAGACCCATGGTCGCAGGCCAGGAATTAATCGCTTCATCCATTCGCCCGTCCCTGAATTCTCCCACTCGTTCTGCCACTTGCTTAGTGACTCCTCTCTCAACTCATTCTCCGACTGGGGAGTCGAACCTGCCTTCTGTGCTACCCGCATAGCTGTTCTTTCAAACACCTTTATGTGTAGAGGCAGCAGTCCTGACACGACAAGTATAGCGTTTGTCAATACGGTACAATAGGCGGACGACACCCTTATGGCCATCTTCCGCTGAGGTTTCAGTAACTCCTTGACGTTTACTTCAAATACTAACGCCGAGGCCCATATAGGCGCTGCGTAGAGCAGTTGACTCTGAGCGACAGACATCAGCAGCTGGCGTTTCTTCTGCCTCGGGCCGCCGACGTTAGGCATTCACCTCGACAGTGAGCTCACCGTATTTGTGGCCTTCTCAGCAGCACACTGCAAATGTTTGCCGAAGCCTAGTTTTTTACATAGCTCCACTCCTAGGTAGCGGACGTGCTCCTTCAGTTGCAGCAGTGCTCCTTCCAAGATGAACCTCGGGGGAGTGTAGCCGCGTTTGGCGGTCAACATAATTGCCTCCGTTTTGCTGACGGAAAGCGTAAAGCCCGTATTTTTCATCCATTTTGACACCAAGTCCAGCGTTTCGTTCATGGCCATTTCTAGTAGGGTAGTATTATGTCCAGTCGCTACAACAGCAACATCATCGGCAAATGAAATGAGCGTTGAACTGGAGAAACCCTCTATGTTTCTTGGCGTTTTCAACCGCAATAGCTCGTCGTACATTATATTCCACAGTAGTGGGCCGAGCACCGACCCTTGGGGAACTCCACTGGTTACCTCACGCCGCTCCGCGTCTCCGTACAAGAGTGACCTATTACTCAGGTAACTTCTCAGGATATGTAACAGGTACGCTGGCACTCTCTTCCCTATTAGAGCTTCTTCGATTTTGGCCCAAGCGGCCGAGTTAAAAACATTTGCCACATCTAGGCATACCATAGCGCATAACTCCCTCTTGTACAGCGGACCTGTGCCCGCGCGGTTTACCACATCCATTGCCGTTTCTATTGCGTCGATTGTAGAGCGCCCTTTCCGAAATCCGAATTGGTTTTTACTAATCCCACTAGTCTGGTCCAAGTGCATCTCCAATCTCCTTTTTATAACGCGTTCAAGAAGTTTCCCGATTGAGTTTATAAGGCAGATCGGCCGATAAGAAGAAGGTTGGTCCAATGGTCTGTTACCTTTTAGGAGGAGAACAAGCTTGGCCTCCTTCCATGGGTTCGGGAAGTGCCCCTGCACAAGACACCTGTTAAGAGTACCCAGTAGGAGCTTCGGTTTCTTCTCGATTATTCGTCTCAGAATCACATCCGGGACTCCATCAGGTCCTGGCGCCTTGTTCGTAGGCAGGCGTGGGCCTATTGCCGCAAGTTCTTCGCAAGTAATTAGCGGGACCTCTCCTATCGGATCCGTAACAGGCCAGACATTTGGCTGATGAACGGGAAATAATGTGTCTACTATAGAATTCAGTCGTCCAGGAATTGTTATCCCCGTTATGGGCCTCCGACCTACTAGTTTCTTGGTCACGAGCTTATAGGGAGTGCCCCAAGGATCAGTTTCGACTTGTACACAAAGCTCCCGCCAGCTGTTTTCTTTACTTTTCCTAATTTCAATTTTGAGTTTCCTCTTTAGGACCTTGTACTCTTCAAGTGTTGAAGCGCAATCTTCATTCCGCGTTCGTGATTTGCGCAGCTTCCTTCTAGAGTGCATGCATTCCTTTCGGAGCTCCGCAATGGTTTGTGACCACCAGTGACAAGCCTTCTTCCCCCATTTGTATGAACCTTTTGGCATACAGCTATTACATGCGTTCCTTAGGAGTTCGGATAGCGCAGTGGAGCTGGTTTCTGCGGTCATTGTCGATGGTGTTCTTGCCCCCGCAATGAACTTGTCCAATCTGCCTGTATCCAACTTCCTCCATGCCCATCCGTTCTTTTCGGTTTTTGCACTTCTCGCTGTCGTCTTTGTATCGAAAAATACATATTTATGATCACTCAGAGACTCATCCTCTAATACCTCCCAGGAGCCAAACTTCTTTGTAATTCCCTTTGTCACCAACGTCAGATCCAGAAATGAGTTTGCACGTGGAAAGGTCGGCACTTTGCCGTCGTTGAGCACAACAAGGTTTAGAGATTCAACAATTTCCATCAGAGCTTCCCCTCTTGGATCGGTTTTGTTTGATCCCCAAGCTGGTGAATGGGCATTGAAATCCCCGAAAACAATCACCTCTGATGTAGCTCCTCTGACTCTAACGAATAGCCTGTATAGGAAGGCATCGAATTCATTAAGTGTACAGTTCGGTGAAATATAGCAACTATATATTCTGTGATCCTCCAAGTCAGCCCATGCGTAGCCTGCACTTGAGCCAGTTCTCAACACGTACTGATTTTGTTGGAAGAACAGGGCGCATTTCCTGTCCGTACTTCCTACCCAGCCAGGGTGATCAGGTATGCGGTTAGGTTCGCTGATGCACAGAGTATCTGCTCCCTTAGCTTCCATTGTGTGGAGGGCCAGAGACTGAGCCTCTCTACTCCTATTTAAATTGATTTGGAGGTAAGCCATGTTAATGAGACGATGGTTCTAATCTAGCCATTAGAAGGTCAGATGACGACGCCTTGCTTTCCCCGGTTCCTTTCCGGGTCTCCATCGACTCCTTCTTCAGCATAGACCTGAAAACCGTAGCCTCGGCCGCCTCCGCTTTGCAGTCTTTAGCCAAATGCCCTGATACCCCACATCGCCTGCAATTTTTACTGCGGTCTGCTCCTTGGCATGTCTTGGTGTCTTGTAGGCATCTGGGATGCGAGGTGCAGAGTTGTTTGGTGCGATGGTAGGAGAGACAGTGGAAACTACTCCTTGGGGCAAGTTCTGTTTGCTCTTCTTATCAGTGACCTACGTGTTTACACTAAGTGCGCCTGGGGCGCGTGGTTGATGCACGGTCTTCGGACCTGTAGACGCTAGGCGGAGCGTGGGGAATAGAGTACTCACTCTATTTAAAAATAAAATGAGGGATCACGACCACCGTTTGACCCGCGAGCGCGGCGTCATGGGCCAACCACTAGCCCTCGTGTATCTGTAAAAGTAAATAGTAGGGAGGCATAATGTCCTAGCTTAAGGCAATGATGGACCTCAGGCCGAAACGTCGCACTTTAGACACCTAAGGCCCGGTTTTTCAATCATCCAACTATTCGTTAAATAACTATTCGTTGAATAAACCTATTCAGCAAATAAACTTCCAAATAAAACAAAAAATGATGACAACTGTTTTTCAATATAAATTTATTCTCCGAATAGTTATTCGGAGAATAAAACTAATCAGTAGATGATAATGATAATATGTATTAGGAGTTGTGCATTGTGAAACAAGTTGAAGAGTTCTGATCCATTGTAATTGGTTGAAATATCTCATCAGTGATAAGACAATATTATCAAAGAAAAATATTTATATTACTATTATAAACAATAAACTGTTATATTGCTATTCTAAATTTCTAAAATTCTGTATTATTCTGTTATTCATCAATCATCATTATGTCATCAAATAAAAGGAATAGGGCAACTAACTTTTCCTTTGAGGAAAAATAACTGTTATTAAAATATGCAATTGAAAATAAATCTGTACTGGAAAATAAAATGTCCAACTCTGTGTCCTGGAAGGACAAAAACCAGTGCTGGTTAAAAATTAGTGAAGCATACAATTCAACCACATCAGGCTGTGTAAGTTCTAAATAAAAATTTAATATTCTTCAATAAATATGAATTATATATACATTTTTTTTATAAATAACAGCCCAGAGATGCTACAAGCTTGAGATTAAAATATGAAGGATTAAAAAGATTATTGAGAGGAAGTAAAAGTAATTTATTTAAGACTGGAGGTGGGCCTCATGAAAATGATTATACTTGCTCAAGTGAATTAGAAAAACAATTATACAACATAATACAATTGTGTTGAAGGGTTGCCTTCAAAATTCGATAGTGATACTGGTCAGTCACTTTTTATTGCCAAAAAATGTTTATAATATGTATTAGATAATTTAATAATTATTAAATTGATTTTTAAGTAGTTAACATAAGTAATATTGATGAAGAACATGAAGTTGAAAATGAAATAATAGATGAATCTGCCGTTGATATGTTTGTTCAATATGATTTTGTTTTTGATAACAATAATGAAGATCTTTCAACTATTATAGTTGGCCAGTCAGATAAAGGTATTTTAATTTATTATATAGTTAACTATAACAATATTAAATGTTAATTATTAAAATCTCATCTGATTTGAGGTATGGAAAAAGAACCAACTGTTGAAAAGAATTGGGTACCAATTGATTCTACAAAATTATTAAAATCAACTGGAAAGCATCAAAAACTTTATACAAGTAAATACTAAAGCTTTAAAATGAAAAAAAAAATAGTTTTTAATATGCCATTATTAACCTATATTGTTGTAATGAATAATATAAACTTTCAGCTGGTAATTTAAAAAGAAAAAACCATTCACAAGCTTCAGTGAGTGAAAAGTTAACATTGTTGGCAAAAAAAAAAAATGAAATTAATTGAAATGCAAAAATCAATGTTGACAACAGAATTAGAATTTCTAAAAAACAAACATGCTCTTGAATTAAAATTATTGGAATTGGACGTATCATTAAAAAAACAAAAGTTGGATAATGACAGGAAATAATAGAAATAGTTTATTGTTGTTTATTTAAATTTAAATGTAAATATTGTTTAAAATCCTGATGAGATTACCAGGTAAAAGTGATAAATTTATTTTAAAACATAAAAGTTACTACTAATACTAAGTACCTATTAGTTGTAAGTTGTTATAAATATATGTTCTTTATTTATTTCTTTTATTATGTTTATTTTAATTTTGTTTTAAATTTAAAAATTATAACACATATATTAAAGATAAAAATATTCTTGAAGTATACATCGTTAATTTGGTTTCTACTGAATACAATTTTACACAGCAAAGTTACATTTTTAACAGTAACTACAAATGTGCAAAGTAATCAACCACTAATTGTTGTCTTGCATTTCCTTCTTCAATCACTTCTTCTAATATATTTATATTTTCATTTTCTGGTAAAAATAAATCTAACAATTCTGGTGGATCTAGATCATTGCTGTCACAAGCAATGTTGTGTAAAACACAGTAAGCAACAATAACTGCCTGAGTTGTTTGTAACTTTAACCGTAATCCTAAAGATAATACTGGAAATCTGCGTTTTAGAAATTGAAAATAATATCTCAAGACTTTCTAAAATATTTGATTTTTTTTCAAAAAAGGAAATAATAGGTAAGTATTTTCAGCAAATGTCAGTTATTATTTT